TTTGACTCTGGAAGTCACTCTTGGTTTGTCTATAGATCACACATGTACGAAATTGGATTAATGATTATCCTTGTTTCATGATACAAGCATTGCTCAACGTATGGTCTACTTTTATTAACTGATAGTTAACTTAAATAACAAAATAAGCACCTGCCAATCAAGCACTGAGACAAAAAGTCAAGATATTGACATAAGCCTATATTAAAGTATCTGGTAACCCCCACCGCACATCCTGACCTTTCCCAGACTGAGTTAACCATTACCTTTAATCTTTTGTGTTCTTTTCATGTAAGTTTATGCTTATACACATGTTTTTCTATAAAGAACATTTTTCCATTTCAGGATTTTTTTTAGCTTTACATAAACTACATTATGCTGTATGTTATGTTTAAAGACATATATTTATAATTAGTATTATATTGGTGATATTCATCTATAAGTCTATGTGTCACTGGATCAGGTGTGACTACTGTAAAATATTTCATTACATGGATATACTATAGTTTTTCATTTTGTTTTCCTTTCTGTGAAAAATACCTCTGTGAATATTCCTGTATATGCCTGGTCATAAATATATGCAAGTTTATCTTAGACAGTAACCTAGGAGTGGAATTGCTGAGTCATCTTATATATAAATGTTCACATTTAAGAGATAAAGCCAACCTTTTTCCTGACTGTAGTAACATACCCATTAGTGATTAATGATCCTTTGGATCTATATGCTCTTCAGCACTTGATGTTAACAAATGGATTTTTTTTTAATTTTGACTTCAAATGAGCATCAAATTGTATTTCATGGTTTTTGTATTTCATGGTATTTCTGATCTTGATTTGCTCTTCTCTTTCTTGATCACTAATGATTTTTTTTATTTTAAATTACTGATTTTTATTACCTTATATTTACTTTAATTCTTCTGATATGTTCTTATGCAATGCAGTTTACCTTACATGTTTTCATCTTTTAGAAAGGAATAAAATTGAATATGAGCAAGCTTTACAGGGCCAGCTTCTAGTGTTAGTGATTTTGAACATCTCTTTGTTTGCTGACTAAATGTGTTTTCTCTTCTATGGCTATTCCTTTTTCCCTCAACTTTACCAAGCATTTGTGTTTTTTAAAAATTGATATATAAAAGGCCTTTAGATAATCTTATTTCTAATTATTTTTTAATACAATCCTCAAATGTGTAGCTTTTAAAATATCAGGACAATGAAAGATTTCTTGGTAAAGCACGCTACCAAGTCATTATTAAAAAAAAAAAAAAAGTCTCTAAGAAGGATAATTTCTTAGCCTTGTACACAAATACTTATAAAACCAAACAACTAAAGAAAAAAATAAATAAAACCTGAGCTGTTTTGTAGAAACTTTGTAAACTTTCCCTTTAAAATCAGTAATAAGGAGAAATACCAGCCACACTGTTGAGAATTTAGCTAAACTGCTTCATAATATCACTGTCTTGGGCAATCATTTTGTGTCACCAAGTGGCCTTCAGGAATAGCTGACACTAGTCTATGCCCGAAATAATACGTCACAGAGTCACAAGTTAATTTAAGTTCCTGATATCATTTCCCCAAAGGCCCTTTTGATAAGCAGTCTCTCCCGTCCTTACCCTGGGCCTTTTCCTTGTGAGGCACTTAAATAAGAGCCCCCCGAAACTTACCAAAACCCCCATCTTTCTGGTTTGAATTGACCAATCTGGCCTCAGCTCAGGTACCCCAAAGCATTCTGAGAACCCTAATAATGGCACATGACCCAAGTCCTGCTGTGTTTTTAGCATACACACTGCCTTGTCCTCTCCTTGTGGCCCCTGGAGCCATGCCCTCTACCACCTCTAGGACGTGTGAGTTATAAACTCCTCTATTTCATTTCCTTTTTGGTCTTTTGTTGAACCAAGGCTCACTATCTAACAAATGTTAATTTTTAAAAAGTCTCAACATAAACCGATATAATATTGAAGCCTTTAGTCAATAGTCAGAAAAAGAATTTAGAAGCAGAAGCACTGGAAAAGAGGAAATACAACTTCCTTTTTGGTTTGTTTGTTTTGCAGATGATATGACCATTCACCTAGAAAAAAAAATTTTTTTTAAAGATTTTTATTTTTTTGACAGAGAGAGATACAGCGAGAGGAGGAACACAAGCAGGGGGAGCGGGAGAGGGAGAAGCAGGCTTCCCGCCGAGCAGGGAGCCCGATGTGGGACTCGATCCCAGGACCCTGGGATCATGACCTGAGCCGAAGGCAGACGCTTACCGACTGAGCCACCCAGGCACCCTTAGAAATTTTTTTAAAATCTACAAATTTTTAAAACAATAACCAAGGTTTAATAAATTGTTTACATGTGAAATTAATATACAGTATTTAAATGGTTCTGATACCTTCCTCCCTTAGAATTAGTGCTTCCCCAAAAATGTGTTTGGTTCCCCAGTGAAATAGACTCTTACTTAATCAAGTATAGACATATCTGGACATCATTTCTGAAATACAAAGTTTAACACAGTTTACTCTCAAGCTGCAATTTCTTTCTCTTTTCCTCTCCCTCTCTCTCTCTCTCTCTCTCTCTCTCACACACACACACACATATGCACAAACACATATGCATATACAGATAAAATTCAAAAGGGACATCCTTTATGAAAATAAACAAAATTAAAACAAAATTAATAAGGGTGGTTCAGGAACTATAAGTTTTATAGTCCAAAAAAGAAAAAAAGCAGTTACTGAGAAATGCTGTGAAGAAATACAAATAAGCTCGGGGCGCCTGGGTGGCTCAGATGGTTGTCTGCCTTTGGCTCAGGTCATGGTCCCAGGGTCCTGGGATCGAGCCCCGCATCGGGCTCCCTGCTCAGTGGGGAGCCTGCTTCTCCCTCTCCCACTCCCTCTCTTGCTGTGTATCTCTCTGTCAAATAAATAAATAAAATCTTAAAATAAAAGAAATACAAATAGGTAATATTGTATGTGTACTTTGATGAATTCTAATTTTTCTAGCCTATATGATATCTTCATGTACTTGAAAAAAATCTTTTTAAATTAAAGGAATAGGACACAACTGAGATAACTAGTTATCCTATAGTGATCATACCTTTTTCCTTGTTGTTACTGCTATAAGCATAAGTAGGGAACATTAACAGTAATTCCAAAAATGGAAATGAGCCTAACACAGGGAGGAAAAATAATGCAGGTTATTGGGCATCTTTAATGCTTGAGTAAGGACAAGTAGGTAATACGAGTTAAATTTTTGAGTAAGAAGGGTAAGTAGAAAATCTATTTTAAAAAGCCACATGCTATTACATTTTCAACATATGCTATACATTTATAGGGCACAGAAGTGATTAGGTAACTCAGTGTTTTAATCAAGAAAAGCCCCTGGATGGGTATGGCAGAATGGGTGTCTGGTTCAGGGTAAGAAGCAGAATTACATTATTTTAAAATAACAGTGGTAATTTTAATCAAGATTTTTGCCTAAATTTGTGAGCTAAGTGAATAACTGATTACATAATGATCAAAAAAGTAATCTTGTTAGATGATTTTCATATGTCTAAAAATAATCACTTAAGTTTTCTCTCCAATTAAATCCACATATATTAATAAAAAAGGGGACAGATGTTTTCTTTAAAACATTCTTATCAATAGAATTTAGTAATGCAAATGTGGCTGCTATTGCATAATTGATTTGAAAATAGTCTAAATTTAGGAATTCTTTAATTCTTAAAGGCATGCAAATAGTTTCATACTATCTAATATTTAGCTAGTTGAGTACTGTTTAAAATTTCTTCCTTTCCTCCAATAATCAAGTATTTATTGAGAATTAAATCCAATTAAATCCACATATATTAATAAAAAAGGGGACAGATGTGCCGACCACTGTTCTGGGTCTTGAAGAAATAGGAGTGAACCAATCATATAAGATTTCCTTTCCTCATGGAATTTAAATTCTAGTGGAGGAAAATAATTTTCAAAATAAAATCAAAGTATCTAATATGATAAATGTGAAAGACCTAAGGAGAAAAACGGCATAAAAGAAGTATGCTGACTCTGTCTGAGAGGGTTATGGAATTGAGCCAGGATCCAGGAGGTACATGGGACCGGTGTATACATATCTCAGATGTTATTCTTCTGCAGGACCTACTGAACCCTGTACTTTGTCCCTTTGCCCCACATCCTAGCTGCAGTGGCCACAAGGATGGTTTGCCCAGAGCCCGCTAGACCTGCAGTCATAAATGACCCAGACTTTCCCACTGTTTATTTATTTTTTAATGCCACTGGTTATTCTTAGACTTTCCCCAGAATGAAAGAACTTCCACATGGCTCTCCTCATGTGCAGCAGAGACAAAGCCTCAGCTCTGCACCCTATTTCAAGTTCACCAGCGGAGGTCTGTCTTCATCAGTGACTGCTGGAAAAACTGCTTTGCAAGCTAGAAGGGTTTGGGAATTTATACCCAATGAAGTAAACTCTAATGAGAAATAAGAGATTGCAAACAGACCATTTAATGTCTTGCTCGTTCTTTCCCTGTTGGTCATTTCCAAGAAGTAATGATTGCATAGGTTACTTTTGGAAATGGCTTGAATGACCTAAGAAACAGTGATATTCCTTGTGAGGCCATCATCCATTCAAAAGGATCTGCTTACACTACTTCCTTTCCTTTCCCTTCCCCTTACTTCCTTCCTCTCTTCCTCCCTCCTTCCCCCCTTCCTCCTTTCCTTCTTTCCTTCTTTCTTCCTTCCTTCCTTATTTCCTTCCTTCCTTTCCTTTCCTTTCTCTTTCCTTTCCTTCCTTTTTCCCAGCCTTACTTCCCTTTTCTTACATACTCCTACCTAAGCTTTGTCTCAAGTCCTGCTTGCTAGGAAACTCAGTGATGTTAGTTAATTCCTGTTGGGTAACAGCATTCCCCCAAATTTAGCAGATAAAACAATAGCCATTTTAAAATTTTATGGGTCTAAACGGTGCCAGGGCAGTTCTAGGGATCTGGACTAGACTTGGTTGATCTCAGCCAGTTTCGCTCATACCTGTGTTTTGTAGGCTGAAAGCTGCCAGTTGAAGTTAAACTCAGCTGAAATGAGTTGTCTCTAATGAACATAGTCTTCCATCTTCCTAGTGTAGGCTTGTTTTCTTGGGGGTGGCCAGGCTCCAAAAGGGTCAGTGTAAGTGTGCAAGTTCTTATAAGGCCTACGCTTGGGTTTAGAACCTATCCCATGCACAGCAGGCTATTTCCCAAAGCAAGTCAAAAGTCATCTCAGAGTAAAAGGGTGGAAAACATCTTATCTCTGTCCTCACGGGAGCAGCTGCAAAGTCATATTGCAAGGAACACTGTCAGAGGGAGGGAAAGAACCGTGACCATTCCTGCAATCAATTAGGCTAGGATAAAATAGAAGGCCTCACTGAAGAGCTGACATTTGAATAAAAATATCTAGTTGTGGGAAAGAGCTAGGAAGTTATCTTGGCAAAGATCATTGCAGTCATGGAGAACGAGAACATCCGGGGCCAAGTCTTTACAGCAGGAGCATGCATCAATTGTTAAAGGAAAAACACGGGCGACTGCAGTTACAGCAGAGGGAGCAAGGTGGAGGGCGCTAGGGTACATGTCAGTGAAATCTTGAGGTCCTGGGGGGAAAAAACTGAATGAATGACTTCAAAGTTCAAAGCACTAACTTCATGACATAAAAAATCACTTGAACCCTCTGGCTCTTACTCTGAGAACTGAATGAGTTTTGTAAAGCAGTGTATTTCAAACTGTTTCATGTAGCTGAGCCATTTCCTTCAGTGACATCTTTTATAAAACTACTATCTGTTAAAAGTAAACTCAAACTGATCCACTACCTCTACCTTTGTACCAATCTAGAGGCTTTTTCTTAGAAACACTTTCTTTAATAACTAGACCAGATGATCCTTAAAGTCCTGTCCACATTTGTGGTTGAATAAGGTCATAATAAAGTTCTCTATAAACTGCCTAACATATCAGAAAACTGAGGAGTTAACAGGTCATTCATTCCTACACTCTCCTTATCAAGTACTGTACCCTGTCACAAAAAATTCAGCCTTCAGAGCTATTAATTTTTATCACTAACTTAAAAAACCCTCAACCACATATTTACATATGTATTATGTTTATTTCAGAACTTCTCTTAATTACTGTTTTGCAAATCAGTTCAAGGTAAGATATCTTAGACCCATTTTCTGAGAATCTCAAAAAACATTATCAGCTTCTGCTTATTGATGATTCCTATGATGTCTAAAAGAAAAAAAAAATAGTGCTAGTAGGAAAAACTACTTATTTAGATATAATTTTATAGTTTAATAACTCTTATAATAGATTTATACTCTGATGTAGATGTAGAATAAGCTAAGTATTTTTCATCCAGTGACAAAATTCTACAAATTCAGAGGCAACATGTTGCTTAACTACATTCATTCAGGCCAATTAGGGAGCATATAGAGATGATGGAATTTTCTTATTTTTATCTTTAACCACTGGATTTCATTCCTTCTGAAAACCAACAAAGATATAAATATCAATAAAGTACACATGACATTTTGAAATCCTCAAGCCAGGAATTTCTCACTCTGAGAAAACCTTAAACTACTTCTGTTTGTCTTATACAGTATTTATAGTTGCATTCTGTGTAAGTCACGTGTAAAATCATGAAGAGAAAACATGGTAAGATCATGTTCCTACAATCTAATGTTTGATCTTAAAATATTTTTTCTGCTAAACTAAAAACCATATGTACTATAAACTAGTGTTAGATACAACATTTTATAAAGGAAATCAATCTTTGCTTAAAGTAAATGATTCTCAGCGGGACTTTCAGTAATCTTAATGAAAATTAAAGAATTTTCATTTGGTTGTGAAACTTAGATTTTAATAGAGATGCAGAAATTTTAAAATTTGTCATTATAATCTTCCCAATGGTACCATTTTCTTTCCTGTTCTCTCTGATCCACATTACCTAATTTCAATTTCTCATTGCATAAACTATTCATGTCTTGGTAGACACTTTCTTTCTTCCCTTTAGATCCAGAAGTACTGCTTTTAATTTTGAAAGCCATTTGTAAAGTATAGCTGTTGTAGATAATGCCACAAATACAGAGTTGAAAAATGTCAAAGACTATTTCCTTCAGTCCTTAGTAATAGTTCTTGACACCTAAAAAAATTCTTGTCAGAATACTGAAGATAAATAATTTCCTTCATATTTCTGCAGAAATGCACAAAATAAACCTTTGATCTAAAGTGACATTTATTAACCTGAATGTGAGATTAACTACAGCATTCATCAGGAATAATATTTAATACTCATCTAGAAACTTTCATCTCAGACTCCAAAAATGTAAATACATTAATTCTGTAATCCTTACAAGACTCCTGTAGAGAGGTAGTAATTTTTAACACTTCTTCATTGATGAAGAAACCAAGACATGGAGATTACCCCCAAGTTATACCAAAAATCAAATCTGACTATAAAAATGAGACTTGTGTTTGAATTTCTAGCTTTCTATTACAAAGTTAAAATTTTTGTCCAAAATAGTTTATTAGTTTTTTTTCAAAATATACTTTTTTCTAAAAAGTAGAACATGTGAAAACATTTCTTCTCCAGTAAATCAACCAAAACTAATAATCACTTCTAAATATTAGGACTTTCCAACATATGGACTCCTGAATAGTCATACTAAAGAAAGTCATTGAATATTTACTTACTCAACAACTAGGGAAGAATAGGTGAAAGCTTGTAACAAGACAGGATCTTAGGGTGTGTGGACATTAACAATGTAAGATCAACTTTCCTATGGACATAATGTTTTCTTAAATTACTCAGTGGTGTCAAAAAGTGACAGAGACAAAATGCCTAAAAGTTGAAGTTTTTGCTGATCACATTGCTCTGAAGATTGTCCATACTGAGGTATGTAATGGAAAGTTATAGTTACAGCAAGAACAGCTCTCCCCTTACAATGGCAGACATGGATTCATCTAAATATTTGGATGATGACTCTTCCTCAACAGATGATACAAGGAGTCATCTCTCATCTCACAGCCTATGTCAAATCCAATATGCTTTTACAGCATCATGTCATTCTCAAAGTAGTTAGCAACTTTATATTTTTTCACAGAATTTATATTTGTTTACAGAATTGTGTAATTATCTGTCTTCCTTACTGGACAATAAGCTTCATGAGGATGGGGGTGGTATCTGTTTTCCAAACTATTCCCGGTACTTGGTACAGTATCTTTCGCATGTTAAGTATGAAAGTATCAATACATTAAAAACATTTAATTTGACTAGGATATTTGGGCAAAATGTGCTTCAAAGATATTTTTTTTTCCATTACGTACAATGTAATATAGTTACGGTAAGACATCCCTCCCCATTTACCCATATAACATAATATGGTGGTGGTGTGACAGTGTTACAAGCATTCTGTAGCCTTAAGATGACTTTTAGAAAGTGAGGGGCGCCTGGGTGGCTCAGTCGTTAAGCGTCTGCCTTCGGCTCAGGTCATGATCCCAGGGTCCTGGGATCGAGCCCCGCATCGGGCTTCTGGCTCAGCGAGGAGCCTGCTTCTCCCTCTCCCTCTCCCTTTCTCCCTGCTCATGCTTTCTCTCTCTCTCTCTCTCTGTATCTCTGTGTCTCAAATGAATAAATAAAATCTTTAAAAAAAAAAAGAAAAGAAAATGAACCAAATACTCTTATCTGAAACATTAGTTCATTAGTGTAACTTGCTCTGAGGTTATCATGCCACTAATGAAATAAAGTATCATCAGTTAAATTAGTTTAGTGGATCTCTTAAGTCCAAGCATATTGGGTAAAAAGGTTTTTACCCTCAAGTTTCTGTCATGCCTTTTCTTGTATCTTTTTATTAAGTTGCTTTTGAATCTTTAGGTGGGGAAAGTGAATAGATTCCCAGAATGATGTAAAATAGACCAATCTGGGACTTTTCTGGAATTTTTCAGATTCAAGAAACTTCATTTCAATACACACCCTTTTGGGGATCGATTGAATTTTAAAAGAGAAAAGAGTATTCTGTTCTATTGCCGAACTTAAAATATTCTGTGTTTCATTAACTTGCTCAAAGAAAAAATGTTTTTAAAAAGCTTGATGGGAAAACAATTAAAACAAAACAAAACAACAAAAAACCCACACCAAATAGTACTGTGCTGCAGAACAAAATGTTTAAACACAGTAAACATGACTTGAATTATAAATGTAACTTGGAAACATTAGCTATTTGTTGTTTGTTAAGAGTATTCTCTTAAACATCTGCACCTCTATGTGCATACGTGTGCCGATGAGCGTACATCAGTGAGAACACTGCAGCCGTCCGCAAAGGCAAAGGAAAGTTCATACACCATTTCTTTCTTTTGCCCTTGTGAACTGCAAGTAGTCCTAGTCTGGGTGAGCACAGGCACTCGAGCCTTTGGAGTCTGAGCCTGGTGTCCTCCCTGCAGGGCCGTTAGAAGGCTGGGCGAGAGGATTGCTTTTGGACTCCCACACATGTGGTTGTATAATCTCTCGGCACCTCGCTTGTTTTTTGTTTTTTTTTTTTTTTTATTCTTATGTTAATCCCCATACATTACATCATTAGTTTTAGATGAAGTGTTCCATGATTCATTGTTTGTGCATAACACCCAGTGCTCCATGCAGAATGTGCCCTCCTCAATACCCATCACCAGGCTAACCCATCCTCCCACCCCCCTCCCCTCTAGAACCCTCAGTTTGTTTTTCAGAGTCCATTGTCTCTCATGGCTCGTCCACCCCTCCGATTTCCCCCACTTCATTCTTCCCCTCCCGCTACCTTCTTCTTCTTCTTTTTTTTTTTCTTAACATATATTGCATTATTTGTTTCAGAGGTACAGATCTGAGATTCAACAGTCTTGCACAATTCACACCTCGCTTGGTTTTTAATCTCTCTATTTGAAGTATGAAAGCCTATTTTTTTATTTGAGATATAATTTCCTGAAATGACTTAAATTTATATGCAAATATTAAACATCTCAATGCTAACTCATAATGGCATTTATGGTGTTTAATTAAATAGTGTAAGGTTGGTGTGTATGGTTTAGCAGCTCATGCTAATTTCAGATACATTCAGTTTCGCAGGCACATGCACAGAATACGTTTTGCATAATATAGAATAATTTGAAAGAGAATCTTCTCAATATATTTTAGATATCTTACTGAATCCTGATGATAAAGCCATATGAAATCAGACATGAACATGAATAGGTTTTCCCTTTTCTGTTTTTTCTGTCAGTTTCAAATACTGTGAGTGGGTCTATTTTT